TATCTTGCTTTAAGGATGTAAATCTTTTTGTTTGGTTGGTTATTTTTTTGTTTGTTTATTTTATTTTTTATTTTTTTATTTTTTTTGCTGGAAACCCATACAAAATACCGATTAAGATCTTGCAGTTGAGAATCTCCCTAAAAACAAAGAAAACATCTACCATTTTTCATCTACCTGGAGCCAAATGTCTGTCCGTTTATTTTCTGCTTTCTGTTTTGCTCTTTTGTTCGTTCGTTCGTTCGTTCATTCATTCATTTGTTCATTCGTTCTTACTTGAATATGTAAAAGGTAAAACTACCTTTCTAGACCGCCTCAAGAAACTTCAACACAATATTTTGACAGTCAGAATATGGTAAACTGACATTGAGTGGCATTTTGAAGGCTGTCACCAGAGAGCGTTTGCATTGCTAACATCTGTTGTAGACGTTTATACGTGGGCTTATTTAGTTTGTCAGACTTTAGGCCTTCTAATTGCTTGACATCCATGTTGGATAACTGGATTGTAGCGACTCTTTCTGCCAGCGTCTCTTGCACAGTCAGCCGGTGTAAAACAAGCTCCTGTAGACCGCTTACAGACCAGAACGACAGAGAGCTTAGCCGATATAAATAGAGTATGTGGCCATTTATTACCATAGAGACTGTGATTCACGGCTGCTCTACCTGACATGTTAATTTTAACCTTTCTTGTGACAATAGCTTTGTGCATGTATTGTCAAAGGGCGTCGAGAAGAAGTTCTTATTTTTTTTGCAAACTCAAACCGTTATGTTCCTGGAAAAGAAACAATTAACATGAATCCTTAATGTGTGAAGGCCAAATCAAATGTGTGTTTGCAAATCCAGCACCTGTGCATCAGTGTTTTATCATTGCATCAGTGAATGTCAGGTCCACTGGTCCAGAAAGATTTTCAGGTGGAGCTGTTGTCTGTTCTAAAATCCTCTTCTGTCATCTCACTGAGTGTGTATCGAGGGTTTGGTGAACTCAAGGGTTTGACAGTCAGCTCAGATGCACTTCAGCACTGTCCTGAGAAGACGTGAGAGTCTGCTGTGTTGATTTGCATTAGTGGGTTATTATGGGCTGTTAGTGCAGGTGGTAGTTTATTTTATTTTATTTTATTTTTAAATTTTCATTCTGTTAAATTTCTTATTTTATTTATTTTGTTCTTTATTTTATTTTATTTTATTTTATTTTATTTTACTTAATTTTATTTATTTATTTTATTTATTATTTTTTTATTTCTACTCTTATTTTATTTTTATGTTTTATTTTGTTTTGTATGTATTTTATTTATTTTTACGTATTTTTTAATGCATTTTTTAATTTAATGTATTTTTTGATTCAGGTCCCCTCAGGATTTTTTCACCTGTTTTATCATCCAGCATGCAGGTGAAAATAGTGCATCTGTCAGCTGCTGCAGAACAACTTAGAGATTTATGTAGATCACTTAAATCAGTAATCAGCAGTAAATAAATATTTGTGTGGTACTAAAGGCATTACTTCTGTGACTGTCTGTGATGTTGTCATTTGCAAAGGAAGGGTCACTTTTATTAGGATCAATTGATAATGCATCATTGCTGTCATCACCAGCATCCGGTTTAGTCTCAAGGAGGCTGAATTCTCGGTGAGATTATTGCTATATTTGGTCTTTAACTTTCATGATGTCTACAATTAAAGTGTTTGTAAACACGCGGCTAAAGCGCTACCTCTGTCATGCCTGGAAAAGGAATCGTCTTAAGCCAAGAACATGCAGTGTGGCACTGCTGATCGGATGAACTCGGTGACATTGTAGGTAATTTTGGCTGGTTCCATCATAGCCGTCTGGTTCTGCCACGGTTTAAACTGAGACTGACTGTAATATGGAACTATAAAACTTTCCTGAGTTGTTGTAGAGTTTATGGCAGCTTGGCATGGCATGTTTTGCCAGCTCATGCAGTGTTAAATAAAAGGTTATTTAGATGTGCAATTCTAAGTAACATTTTTTTTTCTTTCCTTCTCTGATTGTGCAAATCTTCAGCAGCATGTCCTCGGCAGATATGGGAAAAAAATAATTTTCCATATTAGCATTTTTGTCTTGTTTTCCAGTAAAATATCTACACTTCCTTTAGAAGAGAATCAAAATTGCATACAATTTTAAGCCATGTTTTAAATGTATTTTGAATTTATTTTTTAAAAAAATTATGTATTTTATTTAATTATTTTTTATGAATGAATTAATTTTGGTTTTGTTTGTTTCTTTTTTTATTAATTTTTTTTTCTTTTCTTTTTTTCTGAGGTTTAAAACAAGAAAAAAATCATGCATTTTAGATTTGTGTAATTTTGAAACTTTATCTTTAAGGATGTCAATATTTTTGTTAATGGTTTTTTATTTATTTTTATTTTTATTTATTTTCATGGAAAACCAGACAAAATACTGATTAAAGGGGTCATATGATGCGATTTAAATTTTTCCTTTCTCTTTGGAGTGTTACAAGCTCTTGGTGCATAAAGAAGATCTGTAAAGTTGCAAAGACTAAAGTCTCAAATCCAAAGAGATATTCTTTATAAAAGTTAAGAGTCAGCCACGCCTACCTAAAACGGCTCGTTCTAACACGCCCCGACATACCTGTACAGTATGTGGAAAATAATGTGTTTTTTTTTTACCTTAAACCGCATAAACACATTTCATTACACCAAATACACAAAATAATGTTCTTTTTAGCAACATCATATGACCCCTTTAAGAACTTGCAGTTGAAAATCCCGCATCAAAAGCAGGACACGTATGCCATTTTTGAGCACCAGGAGCCAAATGTCCATCCGTTTATTGATCATTTCTGTTCTGCTTTCCGTTTTGCTAACTCATTCATTCTCTGTGCATGTTTCTCTGGATGAAGGGTGTGCATTGTGTAGCAGTTGAACAGCTGAATGAAGGACGGTGACGTCTGCAGTCATATAAGCATATCTGTAATTTAGGTCATTTTGATGAAAGTAGATCACGTCTCGTGAGATTTGGCATTACTGTATCAAGTGTCTGTAGTCATAGATGCAATGTGAACGTGAACAGAATATAATACTGATAGTCCAAAGCCAAACCTTTCAAGGCGTAAATGGATAAACACTTCACAATTTCAAATCAAAAGTACATGTCTGGCTTTTGTTGTCATAATCTCTAAAAAAAACATCTGTCAATAAAAGTGCCAAAGGCGCAAAATAAAGGTTTCTGTCAACTACAAGAAACTAATCAATTGATGTTTTTTTATGACAACATGAAATCAAAATTTACTGTTTACCTTTTACTTAAATGCATGAACTGAACAATTGTAAATCTTGAAAGCAATATACAGTATTTAACAAAAATATGTACTCAGAATGTTTTCCATTATGTTATGAAAATGTTATTTCTGAACGTTCTCTGAATTTCAAAACGTCCCATTTTTTTTAAATGTAAAAAAAAACAAAAGTTTTTTTCTTGGTTATGTGAATGTTAGAAACAACATTAAGCCAATGTTCCATTTTAGAATTTTGCAAACATTATGGGAATGTTACTTTTGAATGTTTTCTAAACCATCTGAAACTAGTTAGTAGTAACAGTTTAGTTGGATGTTTGTCTAATGTTTTTTAAATGTTTCAGAAAAACGTTGCATAAACAATGTGTGAACATTATTAAAGATCAGATAACATTTAACAAACATTACTAGAAGAATGTGTGTTCATAACTTTGAGAGAACTGTGCCAGAACGTTCCCTGTCAGCTCTGTTGCCGTAGAGCTTTGTATCTTTTCAATGTTTAGAGTTGCTTTGATTCTACATAGTTAAACACCTCAACCAGGCTTTTAACATCTTAGCCAGCGTGTTTTGTTCTGGTGGAGTTGTAGAACTGGAGGTTGTGGCTCAACCGGTAGAAACATGATGCTAAAACACCAGGGTTTTTAATTCCAGTGAAGCACACTTGCTGATTAAATGTTGATGTTAAATGCATGTAAAGGTGCTTTAAATAAAAGTGTCTGTCAAATGCATTCATGTATATTTAGTGCTGCGACTTCAGCATCACTTTGAGTACTTTTTCTCCTAGAAATTATAGCATAAATGTGTGTGTGCACCAAACTGTTTGAACTGGTTTCAAACCGGTTTGCAAATGCACTATTGTTTCAGGCGGTATGAAAAATGACTCATATGCACATTAGAGCATCTTGTGGTTTTATTGCATAATCATGCATTTACATTCATTCATGCATTTTGCAGATGCTTCCATTCCGAAAAGAACAGAGAAACGAGCCAGCAATAATCATAATATACAATGCCAGGTTTGTTAGACAACGTGCACAGATTTTGTTGGATCTTCAAGCTGGCGAACGATCACATTTGTATTTTCCAAAAGCTTTTTCTGTTTACAAAGTTAAACAGTTCAGACATATTTAATTCAGCATCTGTGGCGTATCATACGTTTAATCTAAGAAACTCTTGGAACAGCGCGTCGTTCTGAATCTGAATTATATGCTGCGTTGAAATGATAGGTTTGATGAAATGAATAAAGCGATGCAATCTGAAAATAAATTCTATAGTGACGCAGCCCAGTCCAGATGTTTATTTAAATCACTGCAATTTAACATCTATATATAAGCACAACCCAGGCGGAGCAGTGAACGAGCGTCGTCCACCTCTGAGTAAGTGCATGTTTTCAGCTATACGTTTAGGTTTTATAAGTGCTTTAGTGACAGGACACCATATGCTATCAGATTCTCTGAGCATCACAGAGTTTGACCAGTGAACCGGAGGACATTGATCACCATCATGCTCTAATTATAGGAAAATCATTTCGTCTGACCTGCGGCGATGGATAGGAAGTCTGCTTTTTCCTAATTTACCCAAGAGAGCACACATAACAGACCATAAACACCTCTCTCTTCACAAGCAAACAGCATTTTAGTGGCACATCTCCTGCAGTCAGCTGTAATCATGTCTTTTCTCTCTCTCTCTCATGTTCTGTTGCTCTCTCCATCTGTCTGTCTGTCTGTCTAATGCAGGTGATGGAAACCCAAGGGAAAGCAGCCCCTTCATCAATAACACAGATGATAATAAGGGAAATCTATATGATGGGAAAAACATGGCACTTTTTGAGGTAGTCATGTTTAAACTTCATTTCAATATTACTGAATAATAACATTTTTTCATATTTTTTTTACTATCAATATGCATATTTTTGACTAACAACATGAAAAAAAATATTACGTTTAAAACTTATTTTTAAAATAAGAAATTGTATTTTGCTTAAGTTTATTTCAGGATTATTTACTGATGATTTTCTTTGCATTTTTTTTTTCATGACAATTTTGCACATTTATCCTCAGATTTTCATTTTAGTAATCCATCTTGATGGTTTAGTTTTGTGTTGTTGTTTTTTTATTAGATTCTCTCATTTTTAATACTAATTAAAATACTAGTTAATATTTACTAACTAAAACACTAATTACTGATTCAGTAATAATTTTTAATAGTATAATAGTACGATAAATACCACTTTGATGTATACATTACAATTTAAATATAATAATAATAATAATAGAACGAATATTATTTGTATTACAGTAATGTTAATTTTGGTGGAAAATGAACTAAAATAATGCAAAAATATTAATAACAAAAAAAAGACTGTCATAATTTTTTATTAAGCAAAATATAAGCATTTATTTATTTATTTATTCATTACAATAACCAGAATTTTGGTAAAATAACACCTAAAATAATGTCATTATATTAAAAAATATTATATAAAATATAAAATATTAATAGCTAAAAAAAGGCATGCTATTCTTTATGCAAAATATAATTTCATTTTTCATTCTTTTGATTTTAGGGTGAAATATGACCGAAATGTGTTTTTAATAAGTTGTGTGAGATTACTTATCATCGCATTCAAGTTCTTTTCAAGCCTATATTTGACATCATGGCTTTTCTCCACTCTGTTTTCCACATTCTCGTTTCATGTTTATGGCCACAAATAAAGTAATTCATGGGTCATGAAGTTTATTTTTGTATAATTTCATGATTTCGGACAGACAGAGCTGTTATTACGTCCTTTGATTTTGGTGCCTACATTTATTTTTACTCTTCGAGACATTGTAGAGGTTTGAAACGAGTCGTTTGTGTTTGCTGGTTTGCAGTTTTTGATCAAACACATGACCTTTACCCTTTCAGGAGGAGATGGACAGCAATCCCATGGTGTCTTCACTGCTCAGCAAACTGGCCAACTACACGAACCTCACGCAGGGCGTCAGGGAACACGAGGAGGCCGACGAGGATGAAGGTGCCAAGAGGCAGACAGTCAAGGTAACGGACTAAACTCATTTCATCTGTAGACATGAAGTTACCTGAATGAGAGACACGTGTGAAGCCGAGCTTTCAGATGTTTGAGCTTGTGTCTGTGTGCTCTAATCTAAAACAAATCAGACACACATTCTCTACATTCTTTCAGCTTTTGTTGAAAATACGACAGGAAATGAATACAGGTCAGATCGTTTGGAATGTCTGATTACGGCAACATGTCAGAAATGACCTGAACTTCTCATAATTCTATTGTTCCATTGCACCATTCAGGAAATGCAATAAACCTTAGTCTGAAGCAGGGTTATTATAAGTTAACTAACACTTAAAAAAAAAACATTTGAGATGTTTAGGGTTCCTAATTTGGTTACATTTAGTTCTTTGGAGATTAAGATTATAGTTTTTGATATTTCATTACAGGTTTTTCAGGTCAGTGTTTTGATTTCTATAGAGCACAGAGTTCATATAGTTAATTAACACTAAAAACTGAAATAAAATATTTAACGTCAAATTATTTTATTTCAGCTAGTTGACAAGGCAACATTTCTAATTTTTAGTTTAAATTTATTTAATACTAAAATAACTAAAAATAGAGGAAAAAGTTTATAAACATTTTTTAAAACAAAAATCAAAACTACAGTACATTTATATGGTTCTTACATGGTTAAAAAATTATATAGTTCTTTGGAGATTAAAAATACCGTTTTTTGATGTTTCATTGCAGTTTTTCAGATCGGTGTTTTGATTTCTGATTTCTGTAAAGCATCATTACACAGAGTTAATATTAACTAAAACTAAAAACATTTTTTTTACTTGAAATAAAATAAACTTTAACAGAAATAATTATAAAATATATACTGTATACAAAAATTTATATATATATATATGTATGTTTTTACTAAAATACTAAAATAACTAAAACTGAAATAAAAATATATACACATTTTTTAAAATAAAAATTACTAAAACTCACAAAAAGACTAAAACTAAAATCTAAATGAAAACTAAAAATATAAAGATAAAAACTCATTCAAAATATTAATAAAAACTTTAGTATCTCAGTGATACTAAAATAACACTAGATGCCTTATGTATATCCAAAAAACTTCAGAAAACTTGGTATGCCATAACACAGAACAGTATTTCTCTCTCAGCCTCGTTTTATTCAAATTAAATTAAATATGACTTCTACGGTCAGGCTATTGCAGACGCTTATGCAAAGATGTATTAACACATGCACAAATGCAACGATTTTTCTTTGTTTTCCATTTCAAGCCCAGCGGGCATCAGCTTTTTTGCTGACAGTCAGTATGAATGTTTAAGCAATGGCCGGGCGATAGCCACAAACCACAGTCCCCAGCCAGTCTCCCCGTCACCGGACATCTCTCTGTGATTGGCCAAACACGCTCTCATTAGTCCTGAGACCACGGGCTTCAGATGCTCCGACTGCGTCAAACTCTGCATCAGGAAAGATCTAGGAAGCTCTTGGGTTTTTATTATATTCAAGTGTTAATTACTGAAGTTCATCTGTATTGTGTATTTGACTAAGCCGAGTCCAGCAGGAACATCGAGAGCCGCTCATCTCACCGTGGTATGCTTTTATAAGTATATGCATTTACACTTTTTGGTGGCGCAAGGGTTAGTTATGATTTATTGTAGTTGTGATGTGACTTGTGTATGAAGACTGAAGCAATCAATCAAGAATCTGAGCAGCAGAAGAACTCATGACTGACATGTGAATCGCAGTGTTGGATCATCTATGATTTGGAAGGATGACTTCAATTCAATATTCAAACATTATGTTTATGTTTTAGAGGTTATTGGAATATGTTTTACAAGACACGACTATTTCAGTTTTTCTACTTCAAAATTTCATATTTAATTTAATGTGTTATATGCAGTTTCTTTATAATTAATTGTACGTAACATATTGAATTAATCATCCAATTTTGAACTGAAATTGTATTTTCTTGTAAAATGTATTTCTCATTTTCCTTCAGTTTAACTTGAAGTATTAAATTAACTAAAACTAGAACTGAAATAAAAATTAATAAAAACTAAAAGCATGTTAAAATTAAAAATGTAAGTCCAAAATTAAAATGAAAACAGAACATTTAAAAAATTAAAAAATAATTCAAAATATAAACTATAATAGTATATAAATAATACCTAAATAACACTTTCACTACATGTATGTGTTTTTAACTAAAGAATAAAAAGTTTGTGGCATTAGTGTGCAAAACCTTTCAGGGCTTTTGATTTTTAGTAGGGATGTAACGATTCACTCACCTCACGATTCGACACGATTCACGATACCGATTTCTCGATTCAATTTTCTCACAAAATGAGATTTGAGACAAAATATAAATGAAAAGATGTCCTTTTTATTATTGCTTGGATAAAATGCTGAAATTTCTTTGTGAAATTGAAATATGAAATTTTCAAACAAACCCCAAATCAAATAAATAAACAACACAAATAAAAGACATCTCTTCATATAAACAAACTAAGGCTTTGCCTGTGCTCTTTGCCTTTAACTTTGTGAAATTATGCTACATAAAACATCTGAACGAGACAAAAACAGCAGACGGGCTGCATGAGACGCAGATTCACTCTCTGACAGCAGGTGGCGCTTTTGGAACAGCAGTAATAAGCAGTAATAATTTCCATGGTTACCGCAGTAAACAAAGCAGCAGTGCTTATAAACACTACATTAATATGCATTATACAGAGTCAAGATGAAAAGAAAATATCATCTAAACTTTTCTTAAGGTAGTCAGTTCCCC